TTGGAGACAAGGATAATAGTTTGTTTGAAAGAGAAAAGAACAGGCTTTGAAGTAAGCCTAAAAGCGTTTAACTAGAAATAGTATTTCGAAAGTTATTAAGCACGTGCACAAAAGATGAATTGCGTTTATTTTGATACACCCTGTATATGTATGTATATGGCTAGACGCGATAGTTGGGGGGGGGGGTTATATATTCATATATTCATGTTTACATACCGTGAAAACAATTATCGCTTTCGAAAGAAATCTGTCGGGCGGGATACGAATATATGAATATACACCCCCCCCCTCAATTATCGGTCTAGCTACGGCCCTGTATATAAGCAATTTCTTGCCGATCGGTGATTGGGTTACATTTTTATGTCACGCAGTCACGAAATATGATTGCATGGTTAGGGTTAGAGATTGGGTTAGGTTTCGTGATTGCGTGACATGAAAACATAACCGGTGATCGGTTGTTATTTCGAGCTTCTGTCTTAACAATTCTGAATTGATACTGATTTCAAATTACTAAACCCATGTAATAACTATCCCATGCAACTATTTGGAAGGGCGAAATTTTTAACGGAAAAAGAAAATCGTAAAGGAAAGGTGAAGTTTACAAAAGACCTTTACTAAAGACCTTAAGCTTGACGTTTACGGCAAACATCAAACCACTAACGAAGTTTTTGATTTTACAACTCTATTATAACAGCTTTTACACCAGTTTTGAAATATATTAAACAATTATTAAACTTGTGGTATCTAGCAATGATTTAAGAAAGCAAATTAACCACTAGTCATGTAGCCTGCGAACAGGCTCTCAAGCTGAATTGAGAGCCTGCATCGATGACTAATGAATTTGAATATCTGCCCCGTAACGTTCGTTGTTCCAAATATGGAATGTCTATCCTTATATGGTGTTGTTTACATCTTTCGTGCAAACTAAATTTAGACCGTGCAAACTAAATTTAGACTTTACAGTTTATACTGTTTTTCGAAATATAAGATATTCAAGCAAAAGTTCAAATGTTTTAAATACTGTTTTCTCAAAACAGAACATTTCGTGCTTTGAGATAAGACGGCCAAGACCAATTTGATCAGTTAATGTGTTTTTTATGCATAATGCTTCAGCAGTTGACATATATAGAGCTCAGCGGAAACATATAAATTATAGCATCTGACCAATGAGAATTTCGCGTCACGATTTGAGACGCAGATATTCAAATTCATTAGTCATCGATGCAGGCTCTCAATTCAGCTTGAGAGCCTGTTCGCAGGCTACTAGTCATGTATTCACCAAAGCAATGAAATAAGATTTAGCGTTTGAAAAACGTTTGACAAGCCCTCGTAGCAGTTCAAGTATGAAATTTATACGCCAATCATGAACAGTCCTCTCGTATTTCTTCTCGGCACGGCATGGAGAAGCGAGAGAGACTCTGCAGAACTTGTGTTTCTGATTCTTTGTGGAGCCGACAATCCAAAAACTTGGATAATTATGCGTAATTTCAGGTTTGATACTGGTTTTATAACCGGTTTTGATGCCGGAAACAACCGAACCGGAAACTACTTATTTTAAAATCTTCTTCTGGGAAATACCGTCGTTAGTATGCTCAACTGCAGAGTCTCTTTCGTTTCGCCGTGCCGTGCCGAGAAGGAATACGAGACGACTTTGCTCGCAGAGTATAACTGTATATAACTGTATCCTTGTCATTTGTTCTTCCTGCACTGACGTATGTTATTTAGTATTACACATGAATAGTTTACGTTCCTACTACTTCAATCCTTGCATTGCACGTAGGTAATACTCCATTTGTTCCCCTGTGACCAAATGTGCTTCATAAGCTTCCAACCAAATTCGTCCTTTGACAACAATGTCAGATAAAGTACGGTCGGGACTCCAACGATCTCGGCGATAGTGACATATTACCAAGTGACCATCTTCATTTTGGCCGAATGAGTGTGTCATGCGACCACTGATCCAATTCGGCATGGGTTCTGGTGAGTCGCGTACGACCATTATTGGAAGACTGTTCGGATAATCGGGCGGAATATAAACACGAAGTACGTACGTTCTTTCGTTATTCGTGATCATTGTAATTTCAATCATCGTATTTTCGGTCGGATCAAGCCAAACTACTTTTCCAGGGAAATATTTCTCAAGAGTGCTTTTCTCTTTGGCCAATCTCTGACGTTGATCCGCTGTCCAAGGCATGATAAGAAGCTAAAATTTCGTATAGCTCGAGGTATAGCGAACTTAACTATAAACTCTGTAAACTATGCAACAACAGTTAAGCTGCGCTTGCGCAGGTAGTTTCGATTTTAATAATTTCGCTGCGCACGAATGCTGAAGACCAATCGTGCTATATAGTATACTCAACTGATATGATGGTTAATCATATCCCAGTACGTAAATCTTCTAGGAAACCTCCAGCCAGGCTGCCAGGAGACGACCGTGTGAGCAAAGTCCTCTCCTTTTCTCGGCACGACACGGAGAAGCGAGAGTTAAAGCGAGAGAGACTGCAGAACTTGCGTATAAATTCATTTGACGCCATATCAGTGATTTGAGTATACTAAGCGAAGGTTGCTAAGCAACTGCCTATTTCCCAGAAGAAGATTTACATGTAATAAGTTGTTTCGTTGTTTCCGGCATCATAACCGGTTATAAAACCATGCAGTATCGAACCTGAAATTACGCATAATTATCCAAATTTTTGGATTGTCGGCTCCACAAAGAATATACACAAGTTCTGCAGAGTCTCTCTCGCTTCTCCGCGTGTCGTGCCGAGAAGAAATACGAGAGGACTTTGCTTGCAGGGTACCAGGAGACCTCGCTACGTTTGCAGAAATTTAAGTGATGTTAGGACTATCGGAGGGGGGCTAGTATTAACCTAGACTTAGACAAACTCCTAAATGCTTGATATTAAAATTTACTAGTTAAGGCAGACGCTTAATTATCCTGCACTTTATGCTAACGTAATAGCAACAACATCGACCTTTGCTTCGTGTCTGAAACATGGCTTTATTGCCAGCTATAACAAGTTCACTGATTTTGTCCTCGGCAGGTTACACGTGGAAGTGGATTTGCGATGCAGGAACGATTGGAGAATGGAAAACATATTTTATTTTATTTTATTTTATTTAATAGCTTAGCCCTTGTACAAATATTAATTATTAGCACATGGCAGGGAATCTGCAACAGCGCAAGCCAATTACTGCAGCCGCTTTAAAACTTAACAACAACAAACATAATGATAATATAGGAACGAGTTGTTTCCTTGTCCTCAGAGGCAAGTTATAAGATAGTACTTGACACTAAACCAACTTTTAAACTCGTATAATAACGAGAGAAACGATATAACAAGGAATACTGCTTGAGGATAACGAAGTAACTCTTTCCAAAACATGCAACAGACGAAGACACAATATCTACATCATTCGCGAGACACACACGCAAATGCAGTAAAAATCACGCGCAGAGAGTGGGCGCGCTCGCATTTGCATGCGTCTCCCACTCCCCGCGCGTGATTACTGCATTTGCGTGTGTCTCACGAATCGCGATATCTCAATTCTCAAATTAATTCAGCTTTGATTGCTTTGCCTTTGTTTTAAATTTTCAAGCAATTTCTCGAGCTCCATTTCTAAGACCTTTAGAGACGACTGGGGGACGAGTCAGATGAAAAACCTGTTATCTGGGCAATGAGACGCGAAAGTGACATAATTTAGTCGTCCTCGTAGTACTGAGCACGACGGGAGCTAGTCGAACAATGACGGCGCGTCCCGGCAAGCTGCTCCATTTACTGTTCGGAGTACTCCGGATTTTCGGAACACTAATGGAATGGAACAGAAGACAGTCACATGACTGTTCTGAACTATTCCGTATTCTGACTACTCCGATTTTCGAGTAGGGGCAGCCAGAACAGACACGTGACACTGCCTATTTTTACGCGTGATTGGAAATGGAGGCGAGTCAGGCGACATAGTTTCAGTGTATCCAATGCACCGTATATAGAGGGTTATATTGAGGGTTATATTTCGACATATACTTACTATTTCCTATTTGAACGCCAGGGTTGAGCAAATCAACGAGTAAAAACGTTGCAAAAGCATACGTACTGTAGATGTACAAATAACAGCGAATCATCATACGCGTTATTTTTGAGCGTAATTGTGCGCGAAGAACTAATTAACATGGGCGTACCGGGGGGGGGGGGGCGGCAGCCCCGCCCCCAGTTTGTTGGGCAAACAAAGCCAGTCGGGCAATATTCGCTTAACAGTCGGGCGATATTGGCTTATTATAAAAATAGATGGGACAAATTCTGTCAATTTTGTGGGAAATTCTGTCAATTTTGTGGGAAATATGCTATCGAATAGGAATTTTTCGTAATCACTTCTCCCCCGTCGACAACATTTTCGGAAAGTTTCTCCGGAAATTTTTTTTTGAGGCACAATCCGAAAGAGTTGGGCAAATTTCTTTCCACCCCACCCCCCCTAATTTTTTCCTTCCCGTACGCCCATGCTAATTAATATAGTAATGCATGGTTGCACGCATAGATAACAAACTAAACACTGTTTCAGAACACCGTGTACACACATTTTATATCGTTCCAGAACAGTGTTACAAATGTTGAAATGTTCTAGAACAGTAAATGGAGCAGTCTGCCGCGGGACTGCGGGAGTCGATAATATTAATGATTACAATGCATACCGGGAAGAGCTTCCAACCTCCATTGACCAACCATTGACCATAAACTGGAAGGCTAACTGCTATGATGAAGGCCTATGATTTGAAAATAACTATGATTTGATGAAGCAAAAATAGTTTTTCTGAGTTATGAGCAGAAATACTTGACCCAAACGTCGGGCTATATATCAAATTGAAGCTATTGAAAATTGCTTCAGCGAAAAGAAAAATATTTAAAAAATACAAAAACAACTGCAAAACAGCAAATTATCGGTAATTATGTTTGTAGTTTTTCAATATTTCCCTTTTAGCTAAAGTCTTGAAACTTCTACACCAAATAGCGTTTTTCAATAGCTTCAATTTGATATATAGCCCAACGTTCAGTGTTGAGTATTTCTGCTCATAACTCAGAAAAACTAAAATGCAGTGGCTTCAATTTCCCCCCCTGAGTTAGCCTTCCAGTTTATTTATAGTTCAATGCCATTGACCCATTACTCAAAATATCTGGTCATTTTTGTCCCTGATTGGTCACGAATATTTTTACCCATGGAATGAAAACAGCCTGGAGTCATCGAATGTGTGTCTGGCGCTTTCGAAATGGGAAGGTTGAAATATTGTGCTTTCTTTTCTGGTACGGTTTTTAAACAAAACCTTGACTGAAAACTGCAGTTTTGGTAAGTAAATCTCTTGAACACTTATTCCACTTACTCTGTGTATATTAGTTTGTATGGCAAGGTGGAAGTCCTATTAATTATTATATTTGCCAAACGTGTGTTTATATTTCGGCGTCTGACATGCGAATTTTGACAGGTTAGACTCCTCGAAATATGAACGGTTTCAAGCTATTATACTTGCGCGAAATGCGCGCTTATACCTTGGCAAAGTAATACGCCTTATATAGTTAAACTAACATCATTTGTCGCGCTTCTAATTGATATTATATCTGCATCAAAATATTCGGGATTTTATTATTATATTTTTCAAATATTAGCAAAGTAATTATTACTTGTGCGTGAACATAATAGTTCATCACTTCGTCTTGATGTTGCAAATTTTAACCCAAAATTGAGACGCAGAAATTGAGACACTATTTTGGCGATGAACATTCCTTATTATTAAAGTACAACAATAGTTCACAAAAGGAATAATTTAACGATGGCAAGTTGAAAAGAATCGTATGTCAAATACTACAACAGGTAAACGATTATTTGTTTACGTCTTTGGGGCAGACATTATGTCTTGAAATGTGGAGATATTTAAACATTGGGGAGGTTGATTAAACAGACATATAAATATTCTTTGCCTTATAAAGTATGCTTGCGTTTTTTTGCGTACGTCTGTCATCGATTCTATCCGAATTGGCATGTTAAAATATAACATAATACTAGGAAGATCGTGTGCTTCCGGGTATGCTATTGTGGCGTTATATACTATATAAGTACATTTTAATATCCTGTTTAACTTTGGAAGTCCATAAAGGGAGGGGGAAGGGAGATTATGGGGAAGGCCAAGGGAATTATTGTCGCTTTAAATCATTCCTAGTAGGGCTAGAAATTTGGCTAACAAATAAGTATATAAATGGGAAAATGAAAGTCAGAACAACTGTATATATTTTTCCAGACTATGTTTTGTTTAGTAGGTTATACTCTGTTGTAATTGTGAATTTCCGGCAACAAATTAAAACTGATTTTTATATGTGAAGCTGATTTTAGTAGGGACCGCGTGAAAAAGATTAAAATAATTTCGACCTTTCTGCCAAAGGCAAGGATTTGCCAGGAAGTCAGTAGCTTGTTGTAGAATACAACTGAAAGTGCCCCCTACAGCATGCTTCAGATTTTTTTACTTCCTGATCAACTTTAGTGAGATTGAGTTACACTTTTTGCATTTATAGCTAAGTGAGATAAAGCTTTTGGACTTAAAGATTTTGATGACATGCACACATCTAGTTGGCAACATTCCTGTATGTAACTTTAGTGACTTTTTACTTGTTGTTCCATATGTGTTGGTTATGACAAACAGTTTACCATGTTAATTTTGTTTTTTAGCCGTAACGTCGACGATGGGAGAGGAAGGTGGAGGGAAAGAAGACAAGGATGAATTGACATGTATTCATGTAATAACCTTTATTTTTATCTATGAAATAAATATTGCAACAGGGTTCTGCCCATATGTGGGTGGCACCACACTCAGCAGTGGCGCCTGGCACTAATACACCAAAGTGGCTTTTTCTGCCCATGTTTGAAAGGTTTGAAATGTGCAATGCAAAGCCCCAAATTATGTTGAATTTTGTGATAGATTTTTTTTATCGTACTTTATCTTCGTGAATATTTATCTTTGTTTATTGATGGGGAGAGTGCTGGCGCTCAAGTGGGTTACAGTATGGAATTGTGTAGAATAGGCATTTTAAGACCATGAGCCAGTTGTTCAAAGCTTGCGATTAGCTCTAATCCTGGGTTAAAATTGAACCCTCTTTTTCATGGTTGGATATTTCTACATGTTTGTTTATTTCAGAACTTCTGAAAGAACATACTGTACCTATTGATCCAGGCAAGATATCTGAAGAGATATTTCAAAGTTAGAAGCTTATTTTGAATTTTAGGGCGACTGCCCCCCCCCCCCACCTTAATTTACGGAAAATTGGCGCATTTTTGGAAATTTTGACCTAAAAGAGGGCTAAAAACAGCCTTTTTGAGTGCAAGTTTTTTTTGTCAGAAATTTAAAGGTTTTGTCGGAAATTTAAGAGGCTCCCCCCACCGGAAAAAGTTAATTTCTGCCACTGTCCTGGGAAGAACCCTGTTGCAGCTGAGAATGATTAAAATACTGTACAGTATATCTAACAATTACAATATTTAAAATGTATGCTGTGGACATGATCTCCTTGACAAGTGAAATTAAGAATAAGATATCAAGTAAACTGGGGGTTGACAAAACGTGGACCCCCCCCCCCCCTTTCTGGACCCCATTCTGGACCCGAATCTGGACCCCATTCTTGACCTTTTAAAAACCAACGGACCAGATTGTAGGACACAACTATTTGGATTTCAATATCACGATGATCGATTAAATTCATTTAGCTTTTTTCGACTTTCTGATTCCTCAATCCTGTTCACTGTCCTGATCATTTCAGTCGTAATCTTGTACATTAGGGCATTGCTGGGCAACATAGTTATCCCAATTAGAAATATCTTACT